TACCAGCATTCAGGCTTTGTTGTTGTTGTTGTTGTTGTAACAGGGGAAAGCTAATTAATATTTAGTTGTTGTCATTTCAAGGTATTGCTCCTCACTTGGCCCCCCATTTGTTTTGGTTTACTAGATTACACTATGAAACATGACAAGCTTAATAGGTAACCTAAACATACCTGAGAACCTGAGCCAATGCACGGATCACCTCCACCCAAATCATCTACAATTTCTGTGTACAATTGTTCTTTGGGAGCTGGCTCGGGTGCACCAAAATATGAGAATTCCACAACGTCCACATCACACCATACACCTCCAGGTCCCTGATTAAATTAGAAAGAGTTATTTGAACTAAACTTCTAAACACAAGTAAATTCACATGGAATAGGCATCGATAACCCAAAACAAACTTGACGACTAACAAAAGAATGAACAATCAAACCATTCTTAACATTCTTCCCTGACCTCTAGGGCAGTGGGTAAACACTGTATTGGGCTGAGCCATTGCTTGTGAACTTTTCTTGAAACAAAGACAAGAATAGCTGGTATGTCAGTTAACACACCCCGTCGAATACGAAACCCAATTGCCGTTCCAAGACTATAACATCGCAAAATCTTGCTATGAAATGCCCTTATAGTCATCAGTTCAAGCAATGTATTCGCTTGCTGCCCTTTTGGCAACTGACCAAGAGTTTCAGGCAGGACCCCTTTCTGTAGATTAGTGAAATAGTTTGCCCTCTCTTCAGCAGCATCACTCAATCGGCTTGAGGTAGGCCACGAGAAGTAAGCAGCGCTAGTCTCAGAATGCTGTCCAGCTGATGCAAAGGGTTGAAGTGTTGGTGGACTTAACGAAGGTAAATTAGAATGACTGCAACAGTTTCTTTCAAGATCCAAGGCTGACTCATCTGATAGTGTTGAACCCGAACAACGCATCCTCATATTAAATCTACTCCGCTCCATCTTTCCGGTTTGCCTAACACGATAACAGAGTGAAAAAAACTGGAGGGACGGTACCTAAATGTTTCAACATTACATATAATGATGATATTTTCCACTACACATACAAGAAAAGCATGCTATAAGCCCCGAAACAACTTTAAGAGCACCATCCGACTTTTGAGCACCACCCAAATCGGAGATTAATACTAAAAAGTTCCTAAAATCAAGTAATGAGATTTGACAAAGAAATGATTTTCCTCCCCAATTATGTCTTGTTTTCTAGAAAACGGAAGAAATGAAGAGTATAATAAAGTAAAATCTTCTGCTTTCTAGCTCTAAAAATCATATCAAGCGAAGACTGACTTCGACATTCGCTTTTTAACTCGAAGAATATGAAAAATAAGAACTTTCACATTCCATGATCTTCTGCCTCACCACCCGCACAGCACAAGCTGTGGAGGGTAGCAAAGAAGCTTGCAGAAAGACCATATGACCAAAATGTTCCAAATTTTACACAAGGAGTAGAAAAAATCGTTTCGGATCGCTGTTAAACGGTAACATCCAATCACAAAGGCAACATACAACAAGCAATTTATCAAGCTCATGTAATCAAAAAAGAAAAAAGCAAACCCAGCAGAAACCAGAAAAGCAGACTTTTTTCAGTCATGAGTACTGCAATCACTAACTCACCCACTAAATACAACAACTTGAACAAAAACTCAAACACATAAACTGAGTTAAAAGAAGAAAGCTCACTGATCAGCAACGGCGGAGCTGCTGCAGAACACAAAAATATGATATGGATTCTTCTTGCAGGAACCTCAGAATCACAGAACACCTCAGCGAAAAAGACCCAGATAACAATTCAGCCGGATTTTGGAGCAAGAATCGGGTCAAAAGCTTCTGAGATTGCCAGTTTGGTTGTTTGCAGCAAAGTGTTTGCTGCTGCTATAGAAGAAACCCATGAAATTAAAGTTGGTAAAGTGACCAGCTTGTGCGCTTATTTTAATGAGCTTTAATCAATATTTTTATGGGGAAGAGAGACGGAGTGGAATGGAGTATCAATATTTAATTAATGGAAATGATTAGAAAACTTTGAGTTTTAATGATAAGGATAAAACAAAAGGTAAAGTAAATAGTAACAAAATTGATTTTTTAGTGTAAAAATATGGTTTTTCGTTAAAATGAACAGTACCGTGAATATTTCATTAAAACATCTATATTTTTAGGGGTAAAGGGTAATTATAGGAAATAAAAATTTTAAATTATATTTGTAAATTAAATGTTACGTCATCAATATGAAATAAGTACGTTAATTAACACTTAAATAATAATTCAATCATTAACGGTTACATAATTTGTTTTATAAAATTTGATTTAGAAATTTAGTCACATTAACATTATCTATATTTTTATAAGAAAAGAGAGAGAGAATGAGTGGAGTGGAGTCGAGTGGGAAATTGAGGATGGTAGAGGGGGCTATTTGCTAATTCATGGGTCTTGGATCTGTCTGAGTTGTATGGCTTTGGCTCCTTAAACTTGGAAAACTGATTCTATAGTTTGGAAGAAGTATCCAATCCGTACGTAGAGCATCACATTCGTATTAGAGGTGAAGAATCGAATACAGAACATCGTCAAGAGATAGTACTTTTAACCGCACTTCGAGTTACAGCTCGTATATGTACATATACTTGAGTTACTATAAAGAAGATATTTGAGGAGGAGGAATGAATACAGAACACTATAAAGAAGATATTTTTTAACTACTTGAGTTACTAACTCCTTGTATAGAGCATCATATCCATGCCTACGAATAAAATAAAGGGAAATACTTCAAAATGTAACAATTTCTTAATCTTGAGACAAAAGTAGGACAAACAGGCTATACACAAAATCGAAATTACTAAAATATCTACATATAAACGGGTTATCTCCTCTCATTTTATGATTTCTTTCTCTCTACTCTCTCTCCCTTCTTTCATTTTGTCCCTCACGCATCCTCTATCCCCTTCTCACTATGCACACATGGTGCACTATTGCCCTGAGCAACACCGTCCAAATCGAAGCCACCATCAATTTCGTCTCGTCCTCACGAGTCCAAAACACCTAGCCTTGTCACAAATCTCATTACCGATCGTTGGGATCGAAACTTAAGCAGGCCACGAGTTTTTTGGCAACATGGCAAACAACCGAGGCTCGAGACCACCAACACTGGACTCGCATCGAGGGTGGGAACAAAGTCCAGTCATTAAATGTTGGTGATTTGTTGGATGAATTTTTCAGGATTTCCTCATTGTATGTACACGACATGCACATAATATGCTCACATATTTGAGCCAACCCAAAATCTAGAGCTCATAGATTTTATTTTATTTTATTTTATTTTTTAAGTCACTACCATATACACTATATGCACACCACGTGCACATGCACATGATATGCACAAAACTAGAGACCGAGCAATGAGCTATTTTTCGCATTAAAAAGAAATTTTAATGACAACCTATTGGTACATTGGATACAATTAAAACATAATTCTTACGTATATAAGTTTACAGTGGTAGTTTGAAAAGTCTTGTTACGTACATCAATCACCGCTTAACCTTGCACGTGGAAAACATGATACTCATTGTCGTTATTTCATGGACATGCATGATCCTTAACGTCCTCTAAGCTTTTTCTTAATTTTTTCGCCGAAGCCAACTAGGTTGTGTTCATACTTGCTAAATTCCGAGGCACAACATATGTGCATCATAACTAGTGAACATTACCGCTTCTCATATTAAGATGTAGCCATGCACATTATGGAAAAATTTTCACAAATTTCACTAATTTTTGGGTTGAGCTCAGATCTGTGAGTATAACATGTTCATGTCGTGTACATACAGTGTATAAGCGAGTTTAATGCGAAAAGAGCAAATGAGTACGCGAAATAATTTCGTCCATATCATTCTCTCTTCCTTCTTTCCACTCTGATTTCTCCCTTTTCCCTCAAATTTATCTTTTCTTCAAAAGGCAATTGACCTTTAATACATTTTTTCGTTTAACTGCACCAAAAGCCAAACCCTATTTTAGCGCTTGTAGATTTGGATTGAGAGAGGGAGCAGAGGGAGAGAATCCGGTGGTTCCAACTATAAGAACTTCTCCTCCGCTAAATCAAAAGCAACAATGACAGATGGAGAGCTCCATTGACAAATGTCCCTCCGTAACCATCCAGAAGATCGAAGGAAAGTCTTGAACCCTTGTCCATGAATTGGTTTTCAGTGACAACACAAGCACCGTGCCTCCATAAGCAACCTTCACGAACTTGTAATCATCGGTGGACGGAGTGTGACCAAAACTGTGGACATGAGGATGAGGACGCGAGCCCGTTACCGGTTCAGGACAAACATGAATTGGGATGGGGCAATCTGGCATTTTGAAGGACACTGCAGTGCTGCAGGGATTGAAAACGAAGAAGGATTTTGGCTGAGGCACAATGCAGGCCAACCCATTACAGGAACCAAACATTTTGATCCAATCGATATCGGGGTTGTCCTTGAGTGGAAAATCAAGCTCCAAAGGCAAAACATCTTCATCATCATCTACAGGGGCTAGATTGCCCAAGGAATATAGGGAATTATCAGCGCTGATGCGAGGGGTTCTTCTGCAAATACAGTGGAAAATCAATCTCTCTCTCTCTCTCTCTCTCTGTGCTCGTGCCTTGGTATTTCTATCTTTATTTATAGTGCACTGGGAACTCAACTCATTCTGTTTGGAGTTTTGGACGAAGGACGATCATCTCCCTGGCTCTGAGAGAAAAAATGTACAGAAAATACGAAAGAGCAAAACCAACGCCTCCTTCAAATGAAGCAAAATGAAACCAAAATGATGAGCATTGCAGGCAAAGTGAGATGAAGCAGAGCGTAGGGTGGCAAAAGTGTGATTTTATGTAGAATATTTGGAGACAAAGTAAAAATTAAGCCTACTTTCTAATCGTTGATTCTCCTCTAATTTATTTAGTTTAAATGCTAGGAAAATAAAATGTATGAAGAGTAGAGGCTGGAGAATGACAATATCAAACAAAAAAAGACACAAAACCTGGCACGAATTCCCTATTGAAAAGTCAAGACACAAAGAACAACTTCATAAACCACTAGATCTAGACTTTATGCTTCATAAAATCGTAGTCATCGTCATTCGTTAACCTCGAAAACTACAATGTCGTTAACAGACTAACTGAAAACATAACAATGACCTGCTTTATGACTCCGCGATCAAATCACCAGAGAATTTACATCATAACTAAGTGAAAGGGTCAACAAGGAGCGACTTCTTGCTCAGTTACTTGTCTTGGTCAGAACCTTGCTCAGCTCAGTTACAAGAAGCAAGTAGTTCATATTCACTAGGAGTAAAAACGTGTAGAATGTGATCGGAATTAGACACAACTGCAACTTCTTGTGATAACTCGGAGAGATGAGGCTCTCCACATACACACCAGCACAGAATTTATCTGGAAGGCCATTTGCCAAGAAATTTTTGCAAGTCCCGTCATTTGGATTGCACAGAAGTAACTGTTTCCAACTCCTCGCCAGTAAGATCTTGTTATCCTTCCAGTAACATAATGGCTTCAAAGAAGTAGATGAATATGGTTCAGCTATAAAAATTCTAGTCCACGACTCCTTCACACCATAATCGTTCATAATCCAAAATGAGTATTCTCTATTATGCTGGTAAAGTAAACAAAGACTCCCTCCCAGAACGCCAGTTGTAAACGTCTGATAATCAGTGACAGAAGTAGGTGTGGGCAAGTCTGAGAACTTCTCCTCCGCTAAATCAAAAGCAGCAATGACACAGTTACCACCATTTTCAAGCCGTCCGCATAACCAGTGGACAGCTCCATTGAGAAACGTCCCTGAACCCTCCAAATGATGTTTGTAAGGAAAGTCTTGAACCCCTTTCCACGAATTGCTTCTCAACGAAAAAATGAGAATCATGCACCCATAAGCAATCGTGACAAACTTGTAATCATCAACAGAATGAGCATAACCAAAACCGTATGCATGATTGAACCCTACTTCTTGAGGTTGTGGAGGACATTTATGACTTGGAATGGGGCAATCTGGCACTCTCAAGGACTCTCTAGTGGTAGGATTGAATATAAAGAAGGTTTCCGGCTGAGGCATGATGCAGACCAAACCATTGGAAGTACCAAACACATGAACCCACTCAGTGTTGGGGTGGTTCTTGAGCGGAAAATCAATCTCCAAGGGCAACATATCATCATCTATAGGTGCTTCAGGGTCCAAGGAGAATAACGAATTTTTAGAACTGAAAATGATTTTCTGCTTCTGGAACCGATCTAGATGGGTTTTGGTGAAGTGGGGTTCACTGGTTAGACGGAGCCATGACTTTGATATGCACCTGAATCGGCACACTGACTTGAGAGGAAGTCGAGAGAGTATATCGGCAATGATATCCATTGAAAGGCCTGACATGTCTACTTCACTTGACACTGAGATAACAGACGTAAGTAACTTTGAGCCACCTTAATCTTGTTTGCACCAAAGCCCACATCACAAGTAAGCAAAATCAATAGTTCAAAAATTAACTAATAGATTTTCATCCACAACATTATATGCTTTCGGTTTAATTAAGCAATATATTCCATAAACAACAAATAATTCCCTCACATTCTGGTTCATGCATAAACAAATCATCTCTTCGAAGATTCCCCATATGCAAATCAGAGGATTTACCCTAAATTTCCAAAATCTTTCACCTTCTCAATTCTTTACACTAATGAAAAATAATTATCAAAGGAATAGTTTTTACAGCAAAAGCAATAATCCCATGTTCACAATTGGCCATTAAATGTGATAAATTACTGCAAATACTGCACAAAATTTGAGTAAAAAACTAAACACGGGTTTATACTAAATGAAAAAATTCTAATAAAAACCCATATATTTAAGAAATTAAAAACCCTTATCAAACAAAGCAATGGCAACCCACACAGACAAAATCCAAAATAAACCAACTTTAATAAAGAAAATAAGCAAAAGTTGGCAAAAAAATAAAAAAATACACAGCTAAAACGAAAAAATACCCAGAAACACGAGCGCGACGGCGGGGAAGTGAATCGACAGACAGCTCCGACTTGTCTCTCTTCGTCTATTTTAATCAGCACTGGCAACACAAGTAAAAAACGAGTCAACAAAAATAGAAAGAAAAAAAAATGGAGTCCTGAAAATCTAAAAGGGGAAATTAGGCAAACCCTAGAAATGGGCTCCAAGAACTTCAAAAATCATACTCTCTTGTCTCTTCGGCCATCGCGAGTAGCTTAATGGAGAAGCTATGGGGAGTTGAAAGTTCGAATTTTTAATTTTGTCAGCAAGTTTGGTATTCATAAGGGGATCGTATAAAGGGAATTTTTTTTACTAAAAAATATTTTGCGTGCTGATCTTCTTCCACTAGTTTTGCGGTCCGCTGACACGTTGTTCCGCAAAGGAGGCAGATAAATTATTTTATATTTTATATTGTTTACCTGTGTAACTACAGTTAAATTACGTTTATATTTTATATTTTTATTTTAAAATTTTTAAAAAAAATTAATATAAAATGATCGTTCAAAATATGAGAGAATGAAACACAGGAGGCAGACAATCTGCTCCTTCGGAAAAATAAAACAGACGGAGAAGAAAAAGAAACCTTCCATTTCGAGCTTCGTAGGGCCAAAACTATGTGAATTTGGGATCTCGGCCCAGCATGAACAACCTGAATTAATTGGACTGGCTTGGTTCTAGTTAGGTTTGGTTTAGGGGTTTTGCCCCAAAACAAAAGAAATTTCGTTCTCAGTTTGGTTTGATTTATCTTTCAAAAAGTATGTAGACAATTGGATTAAAATGCAAGCATCTTGTTCTATTTAAAGAGAATCAAGCCCTCAGTAGTTTGGCAGAGCTCTCAAACCGATGCAGCAATGTGTGTATAGATATCTTGACTTCTACGTTCCAGAACACAACAACTCAATTGAATCGTTGTATGAGTTCAAATCTATATGCATAATAGAAAAATTCAAAGTTCCACCACAAGACCTTTATTTGGACAATAAGAAAAACACTTAAAGTGGAGTAGAGAGGATGATCGCAGGAGAAAGTCGAGTGTGAGACGAGGGCGAAGAAAATGAGAGAGAAAGGGTTTTATTTAGGGGTATGCTATCAACACACTCTTTTTTACTTCTCACACATCACTTATTAAATTCTGTCATTTGATATTCTTCAATTCATCCAATCCGTATATGAGAAGTAAAAAGGAGTATGTGGATATCCCACCCATCATTTATAGGCTCTAGCATTACCACTTAGTTAATAGGGCAATAAACACAAAACACTAGGGCTTACTTAATGGTAAGAAGCATGGAGACTCATTATAGCATCTCTAAAAGAGAAGTCAAAAGGTTCACATAAGCAAAACAGTGAAAAATACAGCATTAATGTTTTTCAACCGAAATATCAACTCCTTTATGGCATGATATTTTTCGATACTGGTCTGATATACCTTATGTTTTCTTTAGTGATTAATAATTGTTTTTCATCATTTTATTAATTTTTTTATTTTAAAAATACTTATTGCAATTATGAAAAGTAAATAATGGAATACATAATAGTTTAAATTTGATCTATTGGATGAAGAACAAAATTTAAAAAAAAAATAAGATCAAAATTTTAATATATCTTCGTTTGACTTGGTCTTTAGTATTTGTTTGAAAACTGTTATAAGCATTTAAAAAAAAAAAAGATTATACACTCTAATAACAGCACCAAATTATTATTATTGGGCACTCCCCAAGTATCAAAAGCATATACAAATCATTTTAACATGCTTCAAATAGACTTAGGGACATTTATTTTAATTTTATATGAGAGAATTTCAAGAATATTGATAGAGTACAACATCATAACCCCATGACAAGCACAAATAAAATCATAGTAGCATGATCCATCAAATTAAACGCCATTGTGGTTACAACAAAAAATAAATAAATTAAACATAATCATCAATAGCAGCAAAGGAATGATCTTTGAATTAGCAGATCAAACACCAACAGCCCTAATTATTCAAAACACATAGAGGGCAGCCAATTCCTCCAATGACTCTGAAGTGCTACCAAAGCTGGGATCTTCTGCATTATTCTCCAGCATCCACAACAAGTGATCAAACAAAACCACCTCACAGTTGACAAATATATCATCCTCCTCTCCTCGCTTTTGCTTCGATGACTTGTCGATCAAGGCATTTAACAACGGATGATTGAGGTACTTTGAGCTAATCACGTAACGTTTCCTCGTGCTTCCTACATATATTATAGTTTGGTGATGATGATGAGGATGAAGCTCATGATTTTCATGCCTGAATATAGCTTCCCTCGTAGATTTCGACCTTAGGCTACTATACGACGACGATCTCCCTAGCTGCCTTGATAAGCTCTTGCACTTCCTTAGCAGAATATTCATCTTCTTCATCCTTAAAGACCCTTATTTTTTTATGATCGATGAGAGAGAGAGAGAGAGAGAGAGAGAGAGAGAGAGAGATGGGGTGTTAATTTGGATGGAGAAGTAATTAGGGTGATGGGAAATATATAGGAGGCTTGGAAGACACTCATGAAATCACAAAAGTAGGAGTTAAGATGTGAGGATTGGGTTGAGTTGGTGCAAAGTCGTTGTTTTCCGCTGCTGGAAAAACAAGTGGGGTCTATAAAATGTGCAACCGAACATTTTTTGGGTGACCAAAACAAGTCATCTGTTTTGCTGAATGCATATGTTGTGCCTGGTGCGGGGGGGCTTCTTTTACACACCTAGGTACAATAGACAGACAAGCAAGCACAAATTCGGAGTAAGATTCTCTAAATTTCGTTTCCCTCCAATCTCTTCCTATTTGAAGGTCACGATTAAGGCCACGCCAACATTTGGTGTGATCTTTTTTTTATAGAGAGAGTGAAAAAAAATGTGAGAGGAGAGAATTGGAGGGGAGGGAATTTGGAGAAAAGAGAACCCTACTCCAAATTTTAATTATCTAATAGTCTACCTACCAAAACTCAACTAGGCTGAGGAATTTAAGTGTTAATCAAGCATCATCTCAGTTGGTCACTTCAAAGATAACTATAATAAATCACAAGCAATAGCAGACACAACTAAAACTCACTTAAGAGTCCGGCTTCAATGATATAAGCATTCAATGATATAAGCATTCAATGTTACGAGTGTTTTAACTTTTAAATTCGATTTCTATAACTATTAGATTTTCTGTTTCAATCTTAGTCATTCGTTTTTGGTATCATTTAATACTATGTATCATTGAAGAAATTTCCCTTGGATAAATATTAAACAACAATATAATTAAAATGCTAAGTGAAACGCTTTTGCAACAATCCATTCCCGTCGAGAAAACCCTTTTCGGGGCAGCAATCAATTAATTATATGAAAGAAGGTTTATCGAACCCCTTATGGACTCCAGTTCGAATCCCTCTTTCGTAATTTAAATAAAATTAATGCAAGAAAAATTGATGATTGCATGGGACCCTTGGAGTTAAAAATGCATTTAGGATGGACAAAGTGTTGATTACGAATGAAAAATGCAGATACATCTGTTTTCATTTTCTCCTAATAAGCTAGCTGGATTCCACCAGTCATGTATTGTTGTGTGAAGTGGCAGTAAACTGCTTGTTGTTGCCGAGAGTCTTGACAAACACCGGAAACATGCTCGGCCACTCACCAAATATGTTGAGAGCATCTCATCATGGTCCAGTTGAAATGACTCCATCTCCTCCTATTTAGATTGACATGTCATCCTCGTTTTGATTTGAGGTGCATGTTTTTCGACTAATTAAATCAACACAAATTTAATCCGCGTAGTTTTCAGATTAAGTCTAACATGGCTCTCCATTAACATCATAAAAGATCTTGGTAATATTGGTAGTAAACCTCCGGCATAAATTGTATATCAACCTTGTTTGATTTGAGATGCATGTATTTCGGCTAACTAAACCAACAACAATTTAATCCACGTCGTTTTCAGATTAGATGTATAAACCCTAGATACAAAAAAACTTCCTTGTTCTATCTCTCTCTTTATGTGATGCGTCAAGTGAAGAAGTGAGACAAGAACAACGGGTGCATGCCCCATTTACACGCAAGTTCTTCTCTTAGACACGGATCACTTACGGATTAGCAACCATGAGTATTTCGACCGACATTACCATAACCCAAACACATTCTTTGTATTTAGCACTAATCCGTCAATTTTGTGTTAGTTTCCAGTCAGGTGTCTTGTCATTCACCACACGTAAACATAACCACTTTGTCATAATCAAATAATTAACGCAAGTGGGAGCAAATCACATAAAATTCTGCTCAGACAAGGTGTGTGTTTTGGAAAATAATGAATGGTTTATTCTCCAGCCTTGTGTTCCAAGTTTGGATATATACAGCAGCAACAAGGGGATCTTCACTTGCTTAGAAGCAAAAACATCATTAATCGAATAATCAAAAGTACTTAAAGCAGCAGGGCCAAGTGATAAATCAATGTCTCCTCTTTTTGGCCAAATCACTAAATCTTGTCCCTTTAAAACCGAACTTAAGACAAATATTCTTAGTTGTTGATGGGGACGTCTGATCTTCGTCACTTACTGCTTAAGAATTTATTTATTTTGCAGTACATTTTAATGTCATTTTGAAAATGCCTCCCACCCCGAAATTGATTTAAACTCCGGGGAAAAAACCAAGCATAAGTTCACTTGCGACATCATGAGGAATCAGGTGAAATCATATAGGACTCAAAGATGAGACTATAAACACGATACGAAGCATGACAGGGCATGAAAAATTGCCTCCAAGCGTTCTCCGAATCACCTATTATTATAAAGATTACGAATGCAATGATGTTTACTAAAATACAACAAAGTCCAGTAAATTCGATTCACCCTGAATTGTTGAATTTCCATATTCTTTCTTGAATAAGTAGGATTTCAAAATCTTAGTTTCCAAAACATCAACAGTCGATTGAGCTATTTACTCTTCAAGCAAAATTTGGTACTCTCGACGTATAACAAAAGAATACTTCATCATACCAAACTCAGGACTTGAATGTAAATCAATGTCGTCCATCTTGTGAAGTAAGCTGCATCTAGTTGGTCCCCCGACTTAGGAAGATAAGCTGTTTCTGTGAAACCATATGAGCTTGTTAGACGTTAAAACGAAACAGCATCACGTCACCTTCCTGTACAATGTACTCTTTGCCCTCAGATCTCAACTGCAAACATCAGAGTAGATTGGGCGACTCAGTTTGATCTAGAACGATTTTTACGGACAAGAGACATTTCACCGACAACAGTTTCTAAATTGTGTCTATACCTTGCTGGCCTTACTGCAACCCTTAAATTTAAAAGTCAAAAACAGAAATTCACATTTCTCATAAGGGCACTGGTTGTAGGAAACATAGAGGGTGGGACGAGTT